AATCCTCCTCTTTTTTTGCTGAGGAAGACTGGCCCTGGGCTAACATCCATGCCCATCTTCCTCCACTTTATATGGGACGCCGCCACAGCATGGCTTAACAAGCGGTGCGTCGGTGCACACCCGGGATCCGAACCGGCAAACCCCGGGCCGCCACAGCGGAACGTGTGCACTTAACCGCTTGCGCCACCGGGCCGGCCCCTGAACCTCTATTTTCTCATTTAAAAAACTGCATGACTCATAGTATGTACATCATAGAGTGATTGTGAGGATGGAATTACATAATACAAACAAAATGCTTAGTACAATGCCTAGCGGATGGTAGACACTCAGTATTAGCTTTTTTAAAAAAATTAAGTTAATCCTTATACCTCTTTTTATGCTTCTGCATTTTCTTATCTCCTCAGAAACCTTGCTCCCATACTTATTTATCACTTCTCCAATGACATCAGACTCTCTCTTATATACATGAAGTTGATATTCAGATGTTAGTGGATCGACCCAAAGTCAGATAAAGGGTCAGTGGCAGATTTTGGACCAGAAGTCAGGCCAAATAATTCCTCATTCAGTGAAATTACCATAATATTTTCCTATCTCCCACTTTAACATAATTTATTAATTAATTAATTTTTAGCATCCTGAAATGGGGAGCTCCTACCTAGTAAAGTTAGTCACTTTACCTGGCGTACAGCACACTCTCTGTGCCTTTGCAAAAGCGTCTCCACCAAGATATACTTCGTACTCTTCTTGTCACTAATCTACCCGTCCGAAAGCTTTTTTGGCGATATAGCTTCCTCAGATTGCCATTACATTATTTTGAATATTCTGAGGTTCTGTAGCATTGAGCCTGTTTTGAGTTACTCCCGGTTTTATACTCTATATTATTACCTCAACTAGAATGTCATTATTTGCTCACTGGAAACACAGCGTACATGGCAAGGCACTGAGTGAGCTTGGAGTCAATTTGCACTGAAGGAGGAATAAATGGTAGATGCTCTCTGGAAATATACATTTATTTACCAAGCTTGTTTGGTATCTATATTGCAGAGACAAAATGATCCTTTTAAAGAGTCCTGGTTCTGGGGATTCCAGCAAAGCTCTATTTATAGATATGGGCCTCAAACTTTCCTTGTTCTGTGTCCGTGGGGAGAAGAGGAAAGTAAATAGGATGATTTAGGGCTTGACAAGGAGTGAGTGTAATTCTAATTGGATATGAATTGCAGGGTTTTTAAAGGAAACCAAACTGGCTATGGTTGAGAATGGGATCCATGAGATATCCACCCTATAATAAATATAGACTCCTCTGATAAAGGAATTAGAGACATCTTCCAGAGATTTAGTGCTCCTCCCCCAAGATGTATATTCCCGTGTTATCGTGCAGTGTGAGGAATCTGAGATCAACTAAAAAAGATGTAGATGAGTTTGTAATTAGGAGGACTGGCGTTGAGAGCAAAATGAGAGCTTGAAACATGGAAGGTAACGGCTTACCTGTGTGGCAGGGGGCACTGTATTCAGCAAAAGCTGCTTCATCTGGAAAACACAGTGGGAGACAAGCTCGAGAATGGGAGCTTCCATGGGACAGGGTTTGGTGGAGAGGCTTTGACTTATTAGGCCTGCAAGCTTTATTGAATTCCCACTCTTGATACCACTGGCATAATTCCCTTGTCTGGAGAAAAATAAAGGCTGTTCATATGACAGTTGTTCAAGCAAAGTACAGGAGGGAGGCCTGTAGGTATGTGTCCTTTCAGTTCTCTTTTGATATTTGCTTATTTTTCCTTCAGGATGTTTTCTTATACTTTTCTCCTTATATGTTCCTCTCCACTAATCAGAATAATCCCCACCATTTATCTTTCAACTCAAATTTTACTTTCTTTGGTTTTCATTGACCACTCAGGCGATAGTTCTCTCTCTCTCTAATTTCCTATGATAATTATTTGTGTAATTCTCTGGGCTTTGTTAATGCTTTGCACTGTTGTAGTATCTTTTAAAGGAGATTTATATATATCTCTCTAACTGTAAACACTTCTTTGTAAAACTCTTGGTACTTTGGAAAATTGTGCATGATTGATAGGCTTATGTTGTAGGTGGTTTTGGCAGTAGTTTTATAGGCCAACGTAGCAGGTATAAGGTACGGGTGACAGAAAACGAAAACAGGACTGACTCACAAATGTCTATCACACTCTATTCCTTTATTAGGAATCGAGTTTAGTGAGGTTCTTAGTCCTCTCTCACGCACCTGTCTCATAGTAATCGTAGACTTTCACAACAGCAGGTTTCAGGTCTCTGACAGGGATGTCTTGTACAACAGTGAAGGAAAAGCTCAGCGTCTGATTCGTAATCTGAAAGGAGAAAGGGAGAAGAATGCAGAATCAGGGAGGCCTCATGTCTTTTTTTTTCCCGCTTGATTCATTCTTCGTCCTTTGAGGAACAATTCTTAGTTGGCTGATAATGTTCAATCTCAAACCAAGTGTGCTCCCTCCCTGCTCACATATGTAGATGGCGATAGGCATTTTAGAGAAGGAACGTGAGGAACTAGAGAAGAGGCTCCTTTGAATAATGACAAGTTTACCAGTCTTTTAGACAAAACAATTCATATTCCTCCATGCCCAGTGCATGGCTCTGCTCATAGCGAGAAAAATTCTTTTTACTGGCAGAGTGATTCTATCCATATTAATATTTGCAGATAGTTTTCAAGGTGTAAACATACATGTACAAAATCAGAGTAGTGTTCTTGTGTTGCTAATGAAATCAATCACATTAGTCTATGATAAGGTGAGGTTGATGTAATCACTGACGGCTTCTGGGAACACCTCCTATTCTTAATCAGCAACTTTCAACAGGGCTTCTAGATGATCAGCCTGTTTGTGGAAAAGAGTGTTTACCTGAAGTAAACAGAAATACTCATATTCCTATTTTAGTATAAACAAATCCATATCCTCCAGCCTCCCCCAACCCCCTTGCTTCTGACATTCCAAGTTCCAGGGAAGCCTGCAATGAGGAAAGAGAATTTAAAATATTATCTAGTGGAACAGAAAGGATGTGCTTTTCCAAAAGGCTTTCCTTATGATTGCTCCTCTCATATCATGCGCTTCCCAGGTGCAGAGACCCACCTAAAAGGACTATCCGCCCTGATGTGTCTAGCAAGGCTGCAGGGCTCTTACCTGCTCCACATAAATCAAGACATTGTTGTTGCTCACTTCTGTCCTGCTCACGTGTCTAGATAGTTCAAGCTGAGGAAAACGAGAGAAATCACCAGTGTTACAGAATAAATGAGGCCCTTGGGGTACTAAGAGACAAGCAGACTGTGGGACGGAAATCTATATAAAAAAGAAGCTGGGATTAAATTCCTTTAAATGGGTTTGAAGACACTTGTCTAGTGAAGTGGGAACATACACAGAAAATTAGGAATACGAATACATTAGATGCAAGATTGCATATTCACATGACTATGTAATAAGTGTCCCTGGCTTTTGTTTGGTGAGGGAGAAGTATCCTCAAGTTGGATAGCTCTTCATTTGAGATCATCTGTGAAGGTGTCGGTCTCTACTCTAAGTAACAATGATTTCAGCTTTCTCTGAATTCCCATAGTATTTAAAGACTATGCCAATAATTTTGGTACCTACCTATATCTTGCCCTAAAATGTTATTTGACAGTTTCATTTACCCATTTTTTAAATATTCTTAACTAGAATGTAGGCTCAATTAACTCAGACATCTTTATTGCATTTCTTGTGTTGGCACCTAGCACAATGCTAAACATGTACCTGGTACCAAATAAATTTGATTCCTTAGATTAGGACCAACGTTGCTTTGATACAGTCGACATTATTAGGATGCTGTTGGTATGCTGTTAAACTGGGGATACAGAAAATTCAAATACCTAGCATCTACTTACCATTTTCACTGTTGGTTTTAGGGGAATGAAACCAGATATCATCTTTACATCAGCAATCACCATGTTGGAGACTGGACGGTTGCCTGTGTAGCTATGGACACAAGAAAGGGAAGAAATAGGCCTTGCCATGTTTTGAGTCCTGCCCTTCTTTAAGGTCCAACATAAGCCCTGGCATTTTTAAGTAGCTTTCCTAACTACTGTCTTGTCCTCAGTGATCTTCCCATCCCTAGAAACATATAGCCTTTCTAGTCAATATGAGTGGTTCTGAAAACTGACTGTATAACAGAATCCCCTGCAGAGCTCATTGAACGATAGATGCCCGAGCGCAGCTCCAGAGATAATGAGTTAAATCTCTGGGGGTGGGACCTGGACACATGCATTTTTAAACAATTTTTGTAAAGGACAATAACCAGATTTTAGAATCTCTGGTATATGACACTTCTTTTTAATTTATACATTTTAGATTAATGGTTATCTTTTTTTTCCATGTGGAGATTACCTTCACAACTAGACTATAAGATTCCTTTAGATAAGAGTTGTGTCTGTTATTTGTATTCCCTGTAGCTACTTGAATATGTCTTTGCTTGATTAACATATCTTGCTTTTATGAAATACATTTAACTTATTTGTCTATTGATGATGGATCAAATTGTGAATATTATTTTCTCTCTTTATCTGAGAGCCATTCAATTTTGTAATTATAACTAGAGTCACTGAATCTATTCCAAGTAAAGCTTTTAAAGAATGCTATTGAATTGTGAATTCTTTTTCTCTAGAAAAATGAAAATTTAAAAGACTAGGAAAGCTATCCTTTAGAGAGAAGGAAGAATGAGCCCATGTTGAAGCATTCTTGAAAGAAATTATTTATTCTTCATCAGTGGTGGTAGGTAATAAAAGAATCCTGGAGGCAGACAAATCGAGCTCATAACGCTACAAATTCTTCATTGTCCACATTGGTAAAGACATTAATTTTTTCTTCATTGACAAGGCAAAAATTTAATAAAGGGGGTTACTTTAGGTTTGCTTGAAGCCATTTACTGAAGAGGTCTAGGTAGCTAATATTTTCAGAACTAAGTAATAGAGACAGATATTCTTACCTGACTTCTAGTGAGATTTGGAAGCTTGTGTGGGCTTTGAATTCATCACAAGTTTGGGGTATTGGCTCCACTTGTAGAGTGAATGCAGATTCCTTCTTCTCCAAGAAAACATTGTATTTCAGAGCTGTCTGTGGAACATTAGGAACAGAAATAGTTTCCAGTCTACAAGATCCTTCAATCTGTCACCATTTACTTTCTCCTGATTTGTCCTTTTATTGCCCAGGTAGGAATAAATTGTTAGTGCCCTCAAGTTGATTCTGACTCCTAGTGACCCTGTGTACAGCAGAGCGGAACCCTGCCCAGTCTTTTTGTGCCATCCTCTCATTTTCTGGTACTACATCAGACAATGCTCTGCTGCTATTCATGTGGATAAATAGAGTTTCCATTTTCAGGTGGAATCTCTCTGACTTTCCCCAAGAGTGTTACCTGAATATACACACATCCTTCCCCTGATACTTTTATGCTGTACTCCCCAGGAACGTCTGGTAGCCAGATCTGCTGTAGTAACAGGCGGTTGGTGTTCTGCACTTGGAATTTTGTGGAAAATGTCCCTGAAGACAAGATGGTCACCAAAGCGGCTTTCTCAGTTCTGGTGAAAGTGGCTGCTCCATATCTGGACAAAGCATGAAGAGCCACCACTGTGTCCTGGAAGAGATGCATGTGAAAGTCCAGGAGAGGGTCAACTTTGGGGGCTTGGATTCTTCCCAAAGTCCATTTTTACTATTACAAAGATGCCATGGAGTTTTCTCCCTCATTATTTGAACGATGGAATCTTAATTCCAAGACTGATTTCAATCTTTGAGATATCTCAGAATCAAAATGTTCACATAATTTCCCTATGCAGCTTGCTCTAGAGAAAGCAAGTTCTCTCACAGCAAGTGGGAAATGTGTATATGAATGACGCTCATTGCATTCGTATTTGCTGTTCTTCTTCCTCTGCCTCTGTAACCCACAATGACACCCCCCATCTTCCCACAAAACTAGTCTTGCTCTTTCTCATCAGCAAACTGCTACTTTTGATGTGCCTTTGAGAGATACCAGGGTAGTCAATAAGCATTAATCTCTGATCTGCACTCTGATCAAATAAAAGGAAAAACTTTATAATTCCAGTCCTCCCCATGGTTTATCACTCTCTTTATTGATACCATTCTATGGGAATGTACTTTAGGTCTCAGAGGATCTCTCCTTTAAGAATTCCTTTTTATTTCTTACCAAAAATGAGTCTTGACACTGTCTTTCACTCAGTAGGAATGAAAGAAAGAGAAAACAAATATGCAGAGGGTGCTTTAATATCATAATGAAGATTATCTATTTCAGAGGGAAGAGTGAGAGAATGAAGTGAATTGCAAACCACGGTGGCACAGGTAACAGAAACTTCATTTCTCTGTATTTTATTTCTCCTTTAGAAGAGTTTACCACTTCCCCAAACTTCTCTGAAGATAAGTTCTGCAATGTACATTCAGAATACTGAGAGTGGAAATTACAAGGGATTATATTAGATGTATTTTTTAGAAATAATATTTGACAGGCTGGATGTGGCTGGATGAAAGTTAATAGCTTGTAGTCCTGATTGATGTCAAATGTAGGGAATGGAGAGGGAAAGTATGAGGTTGTGTTACTTTTAAGAAAACCCAAAGGGGATCTGTGACATAATAAGAAATAGAGATTTGGTCTCTGCCCCTGGTTCCTGATACAAGAGCTTCCAAGACCCTTGGAATCTCTGGAGTGGTAAGAGTAACTTTTTGTATGCTCACGAGGTGATTCTTGGAGGATGGGGGCTGGTTGCCAGAGGAAGTAGCCTTGTGATCAGAGGGTTGGAACTTTCAGCCTTAAATCCTCTTCTTTCCTCCCCGCCCCCATCCTCCTCCCCAGGGCAGTGGAGAGGGGCTAGGGATTGAGTTAATCACCGGTGGCTAATAATTGAATCAGTCATACCTGTGTAATGGAACCTTCATAAAAACCCTAAACAAAGGGGTTCAGACAACTTCCAGGTCAGTGAACATATGAAGGGCTGGGAGGGTGGTGTGCCTGGAGAGGGCATGGAGGCTCTACATTCCTCCCCACATACCTTGCCCTGTGCATCTCTTCCATTTGGCTGTTCCTGAGTTGTATCCTTTATAATAAACTGATATTAGTAAGTAAAGTGCTTTCCTGAGTTCTGGGAGCGATTCTAGCAAATTATCAAACTCAAGGAGGGGGTCGTGGGAACTCCCAATTTATAGCTGGTTGGTCAGAAGTACAGGAGGCCTGGACTTGGGCCTGGCATCTGAAGTGAGAGGCAATCTCGTGAGACTGAGCCATTAACCTGTGCGGTCTGTGCTAACTCCAGGTAGTTACTGTCAGGAGCGTTGAGAGTAGAGAAAAACAGTTTTCCTTTTAGGATACATTTACAACAAAGATTAGGAGACTCTGTCAGGAGAGGAGAGAAAGAAGGTGCTACCTGGTGCAGCAGCGACATAAGGACTTAGGTGAGTCCTCTTTTTTCATACATCATTTTTTGCAATCTATCGCTCTGGTTCAGTTTAAAGGACTACTTCTAAGATTCTAGACATTCCAGAATTTTTGCCATTGTCCATAAATTAAGGTTGTGGCTCCTGATCAAAAGTTGATGTGGTGCAACCATACTTCAGTAAGTAATGTGTAAAGAGAACTCTAGTTCCTAGCACAGGGATTAAGACAACTTATTTTGGGAAATGTTTGAGGCTCTTTTCCTACTTGCTAGAGACTCAAAATAATCATAAATAACCTTTTCCTCATTTTATGTCCTCTTCTCCATCTTCCTTCCTCTTGCTATTGTTCTCTTGTTCAAGCCTTCTAGCTGCAACCTAACTCTAAAGGGGAAGAATCCTGGGGGAACCACAGACCTGGGTGGAGGAGAAGCCCCCATGGGAATTCTGTTGCTTTGTGATCCACATCACAATGTGCGTTGCAAAAGTCAGGTCCTCTGAGGTTGGGGCAGGCTGGGCTGTGAGGTAAGTGAGGAGCACGTAGGACGTCATCTCCACCTCAGCAGAGGGAGCTTGGGGCTGGTAAAGATGCTCCTCTGGTGCCTTGGGTTTCTGAGGTCGTTCCCAATGTGTTGCATTGTCTTAAGGATAAGAATAAAGAATGAAAACTATTGGTAGTTAATGTATGATTGTATGTTTCTATTTAGAAATAAATAAATACAATATAACAAAAGCTAAAGTAAGTTTTTTACTTCAATCATAATATCCATAGATTTATTATTCCAGAGTAAAAATCTGAACTTGCTATGATCTATCCAGTGTGGGTGAGGCAAATATTGGGGACAGAAATTTATAAGGTATGAACTGAACTGCTTCAAATGTTGACCTGGTAGAGCTGGTAGAAGAAAAAGGCAGCTATGATTTCTTCACTGGTTTGTTCCTTTGCTAAAGGAACCCAAAATGATTGGGTCATTATTTTAGCTTTGTTGAAATAAAATAAAAAACCTACCAATTTATTTCAGAGAGTTGTGTTAGACATAGTAAAACATAGAAGCTATTATTATGGATGATGGTTTCTTTGCTATGGCTCTAGTAGCTTCTAGACACTTTGATACATATTCATGTACCATACAGAAAAGTATAAATGTCAGTTATATTTGTCTTTGTAAATAAAAGGAAATTGAAACACCCAAATTCTCCTGTGATGTTACCTTTATCTATCTTATTCTCTCTATAACATAATAGACCAGGGAAGGTTTGGGTGTAAAAGGAGCATTGATTTCTTAACGGGTGAGTTTGCATAAAATTGTCAGCATTTATAGTGATGTAGACCAAAAGGGAAGTTATTTTCGGGAATTCAATATTCTTCCCCTTTTCCATCCAGTGGAAGTGGGTGGGGAGAAAAACATAATGTATTCTCTCACCTTCTTTTATAGCTTCCTCATCAAGTGATTTTAGTATCTCTTTCCTTCTGTCCTGGTTACCTGCCAGGGCAAAAGCATAGGCCAACAGTGCCTTGGTGTAGACAGGGCTGCCATGAGCCTCTTTCTGTGTTGCTTTCCAGGCTGACTCCAGGCACAACAGGGCATTGCGGACAACAGGGTGCTGTGAAGGGAGAACAATGGGCATCCTGAGTGAAAAGGGGTCCTAGCAGGTCCTGGAATAAACATAATGACCACAAGATATGTGGTATCAGTGCTTTTCAAATCCATTCATCTATCTATCCATTTCCTGGCCATCTTTTTAGAAATCATTCTTTCTAGTGGTAAAAAACACATAACGTAATAGAAACCATTCCTTTTTAAAAAAAAAAAAAAGTTTCTAATTAAAATGTAAACTGATAAGGGCAGGGCTGGACGCCATGTGTATTAGGATTAGCTTTGGCACATAGTCCAGGTCTTCAGTGAATAAGTGAATCCTCACTGATGAATCGAGTGGTCTCTATCATTTTGTCAAATGCATCAGCATTGTGCGGCAGGAAAGCTGTCGCTTGGGTTTTAGAGGAGCATTATTGTAACCATAGGTCAACGGATTCACAGCTGTCTGGGAAACTGAGAACATCATTGGTGCCTACGGTGAGTGGGAGAGGAATCTCCAGAAGGGCAATGGTGACATAGGCAGAGAGGGTCACTTCGTCTTCTACTCCACCCTGTAAGTGTAAGAGAGGGAAAGAGAGATTATTTCCACATCAGAAAACCTTTTGAAGATGTCTACTCTCCTCACGGTCAGTCCTTTCTCTTGCCTGGTTCCTCGGAAGTTCTCATCTGTATCTATCCCCACTCCCATCCGAGATTCCATTTCTTTTTCCTCTGTGGTATGTGGGTTTATTTCTCCACCCTATTGCCCTCTCATACCTCCCAGTCCTTTCCTTCAGGAATTCCTGTGTGCTTTCTTGTCATGTGCCTTCACCCTTGGACAAATTGCCATGGATCAGTGAGATCACGAGGCTCAGAGCTAGCTTATAAAAGCAGTCACCTTGATGGCATTGTTGAGCAGTGACCCAGAACTCCTGAAACAGCCATTGTCCTTCTGCTGCTTGGAGAGCCAGGTAAGGGCTTGGGTGATGTGTGTTTCATCGATGAAGATGAAATCTCGAGCCTGGGCAAGGGACTTGAGCACAAAGGCTGTGAGCCTGATGGAAGAAGAAGAGTAGGGGGATGAGGCCATTTTTTTTTTCATGCAGCACCTTCACATGCACAGGCTTCATGGGGCCCCCTCAACACTCAGGAGAGTCAGTATGAGGGGTTCTGGGTGCTTAGAGCTGGGGAATCTCCTTTTGTTACTCCAGGACACTGTTCACTTTCTTTGGGCTCTATCTGCTGTTAATTCATTATCGAGTGGCTTCAAGTGACCCTTACTTTCTTGTTCACTTTCTTATGGCTTCAAAGATTCAGGCTCCATCTTTCTTAATCAGGTGGTTGACTAGGACATTTGCGTGCTCACACTAGGTTTTCTTCCTTTCACTGATTTTCTGTTGTAGATGAGAAAAACCGTCTCTTCTGCACCTGCTCTATGGACAACCTCTTGGCAATGTTTTCTGCCTCGAAAAATTACATCCTTTCCCTCCACACCTTCCTTCCCTCTCCTTTCACCAATCTCCTTTTCATTTGTTACCTCTTGTTTGCCTGTGTGTTTTGTCTCAGTGTGAAAAATGGCTGAAACTGTTCTAGCCTTAAATTCTGGTATTTCTGGATGCTGGAAAATAACTTAAAGTGGCCAGATTTGTTTTACTTCTGATGAGTCTTAGAGAGACATGAAAAAGAATATCTTACTGTGTTGAATCCAAAAGGCATTTGGGAGTTAAGGCAGATAGACCTTAAGATGAGTCTCAGTCCCACCACTAATTATTTGTGCAACCTAGAGACATTTACATAACAACAATAGGCATAAGTTTCTACCTTTATAAAATGAGGTTCATAGTATGTAATTTGTAGAGTTTCCATGAGGAATAAGAAGGGTAATGCTGTACAAAGTCTGTCATATAGAACACTTTTCTTACCATGTGTTGCCTTTCTTCTTGCCATGTTGGTCCCCAAAGGCACTATAGGAACCATCTCTGTGTTTGTAGTTCAGCTGCCTCTGATAACCTGGAATGGAAGGTTTCAGATGGTCCATGAAGTAGCAGTGACATAGCAGAGAAAGAGAGACTTCCCAAACGTGCAAGCAGATGCCAGAGAAGCCAGAGGTCACTCACATACCCTGGCCTCTCCGGCATGCAGGACCCCCCAGTAACACAGCTTTTCCTGCCCAGTGAATGTGAAGCCTATTTGTGGAGAGAACATTTACCCGAACAAAGTGAAGTTTCTATCTGACTCACCAGCATTGAGATAACCGATGGCCTTGGACTTGATCTCCTGGGTCAGCTGATGGGTTTCATTCAGATATTTGAGTACATAGATATTAGGAGCAAACAGGACCATGTTCTGTTCTCCACAGCCATAGGGCATCTGGAGAAGATTTTGAGTGTTTTTTATGGCAGAACCTAGTATGTCACCTGGAAAGGAAAGATGAGAAGTCAGAACTACTATAACTGGCTGGTATCATCAAGAACAAATGACATTCACATTTTGAGTCATTTCTGAAAGATAGCTGATGTGAAGAAATTATAACTAGAACGGAGGGTCAGGTATCCTGGGAACCAATTAGAAACTGAGGAAAAAAAATAGAGATATGACAAAGAAATTGAAAAGCTGAAGCGTAGTTGAAAGTAATATTTGAAAAAACCTGGGGGAGTGGCAGTGGTTGCTGTCCCAAGTTCATCAGAGGCCGAGTGACTCACCCAAAACAGAGAAAGAGGCTCTGGCTGATTCTTTCACTACTTTTGGTGGGAGTTTCAGGGACAATTTTTCAGATACCCCAACATCTAGATAAACAAACAAATCAGATACAAGAGGATTATCTACAGTCTCCTTTTCGGAAAAGTCCTAGGGCCAGTGCTTTTAGGAATGCACCTTAAACTTGGACTTGCTACCTCCTCAGAAAATGTCCTTGATTTTAATATTCCAAATTTACATTTCCTGGTACTAGGTGGCTTTCCAAGCTATGTCTCATCCTCTTTTATTATCCACTGCATTGAACTGCACAGGGGCTGTCCAAAGAAAGCTCTGAGTTTTCTGTGATATCTGATGATCTACTCCTATTGAAGGCTTCTTAAAATGTTTCATAGCCATATGAAGATAACGCATTTTTTTGGCCTCAAGTTTTAGCTTATGTGTGAGTAGACACTCAACATGTAAGAATAACTAAATCGAGAGAGTAAATATGATTCTTTGCTGTTCTAGGGTACTTCTCTCAGTTGCTAGCTACTCAAGGATCTTACTTTCAGAGAAGTCCTTGATATGGGTGTGTGTGTGGGAGGGGTGGCAGGTAGATTAGTTTTTAATGATGAAGTCTCAGGAAAGCAAAATTGACCAAGGTAGGGATATATCCTTTATTATTCCATAGAGTCGCTAAGAGTCAGAATAGACTTGTGGGCACAAAGAACAACAAATTTTACTCTTGAAAATTTCAGAGATAAGCAAATCTCGTTAACCTCCAGTGACTCCCTTCATATTTCTACCTTTCACATAAAAACTTTTTATGGTTTTGAATAATTGTAAAACAATTTTCTCAAATATGCTACTTGTAAGTATGATGTTGGTTTGTCACTTTTGGTGAAATCATTTACTTTATCTCACCTCTACTGTAAGTTTCTTCTCAGAATAGATTTTAGTTCATGAGCTTGCTTTAGAATGAAAAACTTTAAGCAAAATTATTCATTATTTCAACAAATGTGTACTGAGCAACCACTTTGTGCCAGTCACTGTTCTAGGCACTGGGAATACAGTTGTGAACCAGAGGAGACAAGATTCCTGCCCTTGTTAAGTTTGCATTCAGGGGAGGATTTATCTTTTATGATCAATTCCTATAGCCGGTTCTCAAATGGCTAGTTCACGACTACGCATACAGTGGTAGAAGAACAAGTAATGCCACAAAAATGAGAAAAAAATAACTATGACAACCATATTTTCATGATTTGGTACAGTTTATGTATGAAATGTCTTTGGCCATAAAAAGCTTAGATTTTACTTAAGCTCTAAGATCAGAAATATATGTTCCTTCACCACATATTCTATATATTATTCCCATTAGCTTAGATACATTTTGATTCTGACTCTTCCTAGCTATTCCTGAGGCCCCTGTGTGTGCTGGATGAAGAGGTTCCTGTAATCTGAAGAAAAGAGCTACAAATGAGGAACAAAGACGTTTTAGGTTGAGTCCTGTTGTGCTATTAATAGCTATGTTAATCCAGTTAAGAACCTTGATCCTGTGGCACTTATTTTTTTTGTTTGGGTAATGGGCATGAGGTACATAATGTCTTGGCTTTCTCATAGGAATATTGCAAAAATCAAATGAGATGATTTATGTGGGAAAAATTCATTGTAACTTAAAATGCTACTATCTTCTTATTGCTGTTTTGAATGACTCTTACCTGAAGCACAGAGTAAGGAGTTGAAGGTATATTCCTTCTTGATTCCTTCAGGCTTGTGTGGAGAGAATGAAAAGTCAGAGATGAGAAGGGACTGAGCATCCAAGTGCAAAAAAAAATAACGTGAGTTTTGAGAGGGGGTCTATAGCCTCCTTACTTGTGAAGTGATGGGCTTGAGTTAGATAATTTCTAATATGCATCACAGTGGTGAAGGCCTAAACGTATGAGAAATTTGAAGGAGTCCAGGTGATAAAGACAAGAATAAAAAAGGATAATTAAGAGAAAAAGGAGAAAGAAGTGATGGGAACTGAGGGGAGAGGTGCAGACTAAGGAAAAGAAATATCTAGTCCAACTTTCAGCTAATGGGAAAATTGCTAAAGGCAAGTGGAAAAACAGGACAAAACAGTGCTTTTATCTTAATGCATGCACTTCTCATATGCTGAGTTCATGTGCTATTATTATTAATTCTTTTTTTACCCAAAGATTATAGACAGTCAATAATACTACCATTTCCTGGACTGACTATGGCTATCAGACAAGTCAGGCTTACTCACCTCAACTAATAGAAGTTTGACCACTGTATCTTTCCTCCCAATTTCAGGAACCGAAGCCACCTCAGTACCACAGAGCTCTGAGGACTGTAGTGTTTCTGCACTCACAGAGAAATTCACGTTCCCTGAAACAAAAGGCCTATAGATCAGAGCTTAGATGTCCCAGAGACTTGGTACTCTTTAAATCCCCGATATCTACAAGGTGTCCTAAGTTTTGTCAGCAATTCCAAGGCTTGCTCCTTATTTAAGGGGCTGGCAAGTACAGGGACAAAAGCAGCAACGTCTGGAGTCTTCTGCTTGTGGGGCCCAAAGATGAGAACCTAATTTAAGGAACCTTCATGTATTCTTCATCTTTGAGTGGAGAGGGTTCCTTCAGAGAACTTTCACTCACCTAGTGATTTGGGAGTTACCAGCCAGGACACAGTTTGTCTCCCATTTGCACAGAGGCAGTAAGAATCTCGGTCTTTCTCCTCCAGGATAGCTGTGAAGTCAGGAGAGGCTTCTAGCTGCACACTTACCTGTAGCCCCATATGGGACAAAGTGACACAAGGGATATGAGTTTAGAGGGGTAACAAGTTGAGGTATGGGATGGGGCAAGTGAAAGATCCTAGAGTGAATTTGGGTGTTAAAAGAGACTAGGAGAAACACTTTTGGAAATTATGGGGTTGAAAATGACATAAGCTCAGACTATATACATTAAAAAGTTGTATAGACTTCATACAGAACATATATATATATATTTATAAATATAATTAATATAAATATATATTTATCTATTTATATTTATTAATTTTTTTGGTGCCAGTAATGGAGGATAGGAAAAGTCTACAATAGCATGTTGTCCTGAGGAAATTTATCTACTGGCTTAGACTCACGAGAATTCTCCCAGCTTACTTTGTGGCTATACTCCAATTGGTGTTCCTTCCTTTACTTTTTTCCTTCCTTCATTTTTTATCCACACACTCATCCATTCATTCAGTTAAAAACATATTGTAAGCTTTATGTATATAAATCACTTGAGTATAAGTGGCTCTTGTCCTCAAGATGTTTTTGGTTCTAGGGCATATAAGATTCCAGGAAGAAGAATTATGTTACGTATGGTTAAATGTGATGAGTGTTAGAGGGTAGGTACAAAGAAAGTGTCTTGGGAATTTAGAGGACGACTTAGAAAACCCAAATAAAAGGATTGAACAGTACTGACTATTATGTCATATTTTAGGCACTCAGCCTAGATTATAATAAAACATTTTCGTAAACTTTAGAAATGAAAGAAAATAGAAATATGGAGTTTGCAAGCTATAGTTTCAAAACCAGTGTCATATATTTTTGGGAAAAAAATGCTAGGTCTCTTCTAATTTGGGACCTGATTATTATTGGTGTGGTAATATATGTAATTGAAGTCAGGGGATATTTCAGTGATCTGGAAAAGGTGGTGGGGCCTAATGCAATCTTTTGATCATGCTTAATTTGGTAAGGCCCTTACCCGGATGCATTTGGGAAGGTAGTTTAACACAGTGGCCTTAAGTGTGAAGGCTTCTCCACGGATCACAGAGTAGGGCATTGTGAGTTCCAGGAAGAAGGGCTGAAAGGCTTGGAGAGATGCAATTGGGGAGAGACCAAGTCCAGTGTCACTGGACAGGCAGAGGGCCCCTGCCTTCCACTCAGTGATGGTGTCAGGGACTGTTGCTCCTACTTCAGCCACACCTGATGAGCTGGGGAGGATGGCAATGCGAAGAACAGAAAGTAAGCAAGTGAATTGGTTATTTCTAAGATGGTAACTGATGAGTGTCACCCAGCATCATACTTTTGAGTCCTCTCCAAAGAGTAATAGATATTAACAGTATAATCAGAGCCCACTATGGAAAAAATAAAAGAAATGGTTCTATTTCCCCAACCATAGCCATGCCCCCACACCACCTCAAAATCTGTACTACTATTAGAAATCTGACTATGGATTTGAAATTGTCATTGAACTTCCTTCTCTAAAATGCCATCTGACAATTTTATAAATTATAATTCTAAAAATGGTTTATTCCATGTAGGATTGCTTCAAGTTTGCTATTCAATACAGTGTCCTTCAGTGGTGTTAAACATTAGAAAGCTAGATTATTATTAGTCACCATGTTAATTTTCCAGAAGTGCCAGGAACACAGCTATGTCTATAATTAGTGAATTAATATAATTAGACCAGAGTTTTATAAATTAGCCTAGTCCTGCCTTGAAATGACAGAAATTAATTAGAAAAATAGTTGGAAATAATGAAATCATGTTTTCACACCCAAAGCTAATGGGAAAAAGGGAAGTTACTCACTTTACCACTACCAAGTCCCAGACCCAGGTTTCAGGGAAATAGTTTCGTACAGTCTCAGCGAATGGCTCTCCACGGAAATTTTCAATCACCTCATTATATTCCACATAAGGAAGTGCCACTATGCATATTACAATGGAAGAAGGGAAAATACTGCTTTGAGAATGATATTTCCATACAATGTGACATGTATGAATACAGTCATGTGCCACATAATGACATTTTGGTCAATGATGGACCACGTATATGACGGTGATCCTGTAGGATTAGTACCGTACAACCTAGGTGTGTAGTAGGCTATAACATCTACTTTTGTGTAATACACTCTACGATGTTCGCACGATGACAAAAATCCCCTAACAAAAATTTCTCAGAATGTATCCCTGTCTTTAAGCAACGCATGACTGTAATGTAGCTAAATATTTAGTTTTCTTGCTAAAATTAAAACTTTAAAACAATTGCATTAGAAAAAATGTGTTGAACCACTCATTTTTTGGATGGGTAGAATCTTTGTCAAAAGTAGAAATGATAAAATTCATGAGAAAGCATAACATAGTGTATGTGTAACTGGTGGATATTTCTTGGGTTAGGGTAGCTGGGGAGGGTTTCCAAAAAGAAGGTAAAACTTTCACCTTAGAAGAAAGCAAGAACCATAAGACTGCCCTTCAGGCAAGATACCATGTGGCTGTAATAAGAATCATTTGAATAACAAATGACCAGAGCTCAATAATGCCAACATTATTATTAGTGGAGAGATTCTTGCAAAGTTTTTTTTTCCATAGATCCACAAAACCAAACCTAATGCTTTTTCCTCTTTTTTTAAAATTAAAAAAACATTTTTATTGAGATATTATTGACATACAGCATTATGTTAGTTTCAGATGTACAACATAGTGATTTGATCTTTATAAACATTATGAAATGATCATCACAATAAGTCTAGTTACCATCTGTCCTCCTACAAAGCTGTTACAATATTATTGACTATATTCCTATGCTCTATATTACATCCTCATGGCTTAATTATTTTATAACTAGAAGTTTGTACCTCTTAATCTCCTTCCCCTATTTCACCCAACCCCTCACCTGCCTCCCCTCTGGTAACCACTAATTTATTCTCTGTATCTGAGTCTGTTTCTGCTTTGTTTTGTTTATTAGTTTGTTTTGTCTTTTAGATTCTACATATCAGTGAAATCATATGGTATGTGTCTTTCTCTGTCTGACTTGTTTCACTTAGCATTGTACACTCTAGGTCCATCCACATTGTTGCAAAAGGCAAGATTTCATTCTTTTTTATGGCCAAGTAATATTCCATTATATATATATGTACCACATCTTTCTTTATTCATTCATCTATCAATGGACACTTAGGTTGCTTCCATATCTTGCTATTGTAAATAATGTTACAATGAACATAGGGGTGCATATATCTTTTTGAACTAGTGTTTTTGTTTTCTTCAGGTAAATACCCATAAGTAAAGTTGCTGGATCATAGTATAGTTCTATTTTTAATTTTTAATTTTTATTTTATTTTTTGAGGATGATTAGCCCTGAGCTAACATCTGTCGCCAATCCTCCTCTTTTTGCTGAGGAAGACTGGCCCTGAGCTAACATCCGTGCCTATCTTCCTCCATTTTATATGGGATGCTGCCACAGCATGGCTTGACAAGCAGTGCATTGGTGCATGCCCGAGATACGAACCCCGGGCCGCCAAAGTGGAAGCATGTGCACTTAACTGCTAAGCCACCGGGCTGCCCCTAGTTCTATTTTTAATTTTTTGAGGAACTTCCATATTGTTTTCCATAGTGGCTGCACCAATTTACATTCCCACCAACAGTGCATGAAGGTTCTCTTCACATTCTCACCAACATTTGTTATTTTTTGTCTTTTTGATAAGGCCATTCTGACATACATGAGGTGATATCTTATTGTGGTTTTGATTTGTATTTCCCTGATTATTAATGATTAGTTGAGCAACTTCTCATGTACTTGTTGGCCATCTGTATGTCTTCTTTAGCAAAATGTCTATTGAGCTTCTCTGCCCATTTTTTAAATTGGATTGTTTGTTTTCTTGATATTGAATTGTATGCGTTCTTCATATATTTTGAATATTAACCCCTTATTGGATGTATGATTTGCAAATATCTTCTCCCATTCAGTAGGTTGCCTTTTCATTTTGTTGGTGCTTTTCCTTACTGTGTAAAATCTTTTTAGTTTGATATAATCCCATTTGTTTATTTTTGCTTTTGTTGCTTTTTTTCTGAGGAGACATATCTGAAAAAATATTGCTAAGACCTATGTCAAAGAGCTTACTCCCTATGTTTCTTTCTAGGATTTTTATGGTTTCAGGTCTTACATTCAGGTCTTTAATTCATTTTGAGTTTATTTTTGGGCTTTGTTCTTCTTTATCTAGTTCCTTTACATGTAAGGTTAGATTCTTTACTTGAAATTTTCCTTCTGTCCTGAGCTAGACTTATATCATTATGAACTTCCTTCTTAGAACTGCTCTTGCTGCATCCCATAGATTTTGGAATGTTGTGTTTCCATTTTCATTTGTCTTAAGGTATTTTTTTATTTCATCTTGGATTTCCTCGTTGACCCATTAGTTGTTTAGTAGCATGATTTTTAGTCTCATGCATTTGTATTTTTTTCAGTTTTCTTATTGTAATCAATTTTTAGTTTTATAACACTGTGGTCAAAAAAGATGCTTGATATGATTTCAATCTTTTTAATTTTATTGATCTAGTTTTGCAGCCTAGCATAATCTATCCCAGAGAATGTTCCATGTGCACTTGAAAAGCATATGTATTCTGCAGTTTTTGGATGGAATGTTCCACATATGTCTATTAAGTTCATCTGGCCTAATGTGTTATTTAAGGCCACTGTTTCCTTATTGATTTTATGTCTGGATGATCTATTCATTGATGTAAGTGGGGTATTAAAGTCCTCTATTATTGTATTATTGTTAATTTCTCCCTTTAAGTCTGTTAATATTTGCTTTCTATATTTAGGTGCCCGTATGTTGGGTACTTAAATATTTATGAATGTTACATCCTCTTGTTGGATTTATCCCTTTATTATTATGTAATGCCTTTCTTTATCTTTTGTTACAGCCTTTGTTTTAAAGTCTATTTTGTCTGATATAAGTATTGTCACTCCAGCACTCTTTTTATTTCCATTTGCATGGAATAACTTTTTCCATCCCTCCACTTTCAATCTGTGTGTGTCTTTAGATCTGAAGTGAGTCTCTTGTAGGCAGCATATAGATGGGTCTTGCTTTTTATCCATTCAGGTATGCTATGTCTTTTGATTGGAACATTTAGTTCATTTACATTTAATGCAATTGTTGATAAGTATGTACTATTGTGATTTTGTTCATTGTTTTTGGCTGTGTTGTAGTTCTTCTCTGTTCCTTTCTTTTTCTCTTGCTCTCTTCCCTTGTAGTTTGATGACTTTCTTTAGTGTTATGTTTGAATTCCTTTCTCTTTAATTTTTGTGTAACAACTATAGGTTTTTCGTATCCGGTTACCATGAAGTTTGTATATATGTATCACATAACATAATATCTTATATGAATATTTCAAATCATATTCTTGTATAATGTAAGAAGGAAATTTAGAGGACATTTATTATGATTCCCTCATTTTACCAACAAAATTGAGGCTTAAAGAAGAGAATTGACTTGCCTGATGCCACACATCAGGATTTTTTGGCTCCTAATTGATTTTTTCTTTTTTTTTTATACTATTGCCAACCAAAATCATTTATTGAGAGATGATATTTTGGTGAATGTTGAAAAGGGTGGGTAGAATCAGAAGGGAAGATGTTTGACTATGACCTCTGAAAATAATAGCCTGGTAGTAAGACAGAAGTTTTAAAAAATTTAGGATAGGGTTAGAAAATTGACTACAAATAGAGTACTTCATTTGCAGTGTAATTTTACGTAAAAATTATTTCTTTTCCTTGATACTCTTCCTTTTGCTTGAAGTGGTCTTTTTTCTCTTCTCTCCTATCTCTCATACATTGTCAAAATTCTCTTCATTCCGTGTGACACATCTCTTCTATGAAAAATTTTCAGACTCCACAGAATTATTCTTGTGTGTCCACCCATTATAGTAATTTTTATATTTTATCTTATTGTCTATTTTTTTGCTTGTTGAGTGACAATGAAGTGTGCAAATCAATCAAAAGAAGGGGCTCCAGTTCTGGCTGTGCCACGTGACTGTGTCTACGTGACTTTGGGCAATTAATTTGGCCCATGTAAACTTGGGTTCTTTTTCTTTGTTATGGACAATATGCCTGCTCAACCATTTCATGTTCATCATCTTTGCTAAATGGTTAATATTTCCCTTAATCCAAAACATAAACTAATTTGTCATTTTACCTGGAGGGTGGGAACTTATATCATCAGGACAAAATTTGGGATGTTTGATCTTCAAGTTGGTGAATACATTTAAGTCCATGTTCTGGAAAGAAAATGATTACCAAATCAAACATAAATATTTAAAAATTACATAAAAACCCTACTTTGTATGGAAAATATAATACCCAATTAGTGACATTATAATTTTACATAATAAAGAAGAGTTATAGAATATTTGATACAGTAGCATAATAAGAGAATTTTACTCTTTGAAGACTCTTCAAATTTTATTCCTCATACTCTTTAGTATAGCAAAGCTGAGTATTGTAAAGTTAGTGCTGTAAAGCCACAGAGTATGTTGAAAAGAACACAAGATTCATCAGAAGTGTGTCTTGGCCTTGGCTTTACTACAATTAACTATGTCGCTTAAGCAAGTCACTTAACCTCTCTATGTCTCAGATTCCTCAGCAGAAAAACAATGACTCAGACTGGGCACTTTCTGATATTCTTTATTAATGTAGTATTCTATTAATCCTAAATAATTCACAAGGCAGAATATTAATGGATAATACGGGCTTTACCCTCATGAAGCTGTAAACATCCTCTTCTTTGCTGTGTGACACTGGAGAGTACATGAGTCCATCAATAGAGACATTATCATGTTTGATACAGTCTTTTTGGTCTTCTTTCTGCTGATTTGAACTATGAATGAAGTCAGCATAGTCTTTCACAGGCAGCAGATTATATACCTATAAAAAATGAGGAAAGAGGGCAAAAACTCTTTCTTGTCCTTTCTTGAATGGTACCTGCTGAAAATAAAAGAATCAATATGATCACTACCAATTATTTCTCAAGTGTATCCATGATCTATAAAAGAGATTTGTGGAGATTTTTTTCTTTTGGACATTGTTTTGTTGTAAATGTGTTTACCATGCTCAAGAAAAGATTAAAAATATTCCAAGTATCCAAGACTAACAGGAACATTAAGAGAGAGCTCAAAGACAAATTCCGGACCTTATGTTGGAGAGAGATAATATTTATAATTTAATATAAAACATATATTAAATATAAACTAAAAAATATATGCTTGTAATATGATATCAATCAGTCAGTAATAGAATTTTACTGTGTGAAAGAATGAAACTAGTTTTGTGAGTCTTACCCTCAAGGATTTAGTTAGATTTGTAATCTAAATAAGCAGAAGGTGATCTTGCCACTATTAAAAGGATTATGTCCACCTACTTTTTCCCTTACATATAGGAAAAATGAACTCCTTGTTCTAACGGGATATAAATCATCACATATCATCTATCTAAGTCATATCAGTGTAATCCAAGACGTTATTCCTGGGATGCGAAGTCTACAGTTTTTCATCCAATGATGATCCAAAAGTCTTGGTTATTCCATATATGCTCAAATACAAAATGAGATTTTCATTTTTCCACCAAATTATTGCTCAGAAAAGAGAATCTCTTGCAGAAATAGAAGTATAATGATGTACACCTAAAATGTATACAATGTTATAAACCAATGTTACTGCAATAAACAAAAAATAAAAAAATAAAGGAGAATGTCACTTTTTTAGTAGTCTTTACAAAGTTTTTCTTTTTCTTTTTGCTGAGGAAGACTGGCTCTGAGCTAACATTTATTGCCAATCCTCCTCCTTTTTTTTTTCCCCCCCAAAGCCCCTGTAGATGTATGTCATAGTTGCACATCCTTCTAGTTGCTGTATGTGGGATGTGGCCTCAGCATGGCCAGAGGAGCAGTGTGTCAGTGCGCACCCAGGATCTGAACCCGGGCTGCCAGTAGCGGAGTGCGCACACTTAACCGCTAAGCCACGGGGCTGGCCCCCAAATTTTTCATAGTATAGAGCCTTCTCTCGAATACTTTATGCCCTCCTAAGTCACCTGCGATATGACACTTTTACAGTCCATGTTTATGCTCTAGCCAGTCATCTTACCTCAAGCCACTAGTGGTACTGATTCCCATTAAAATAGGCTATTTGGGTGTTTTATTTTTCATTCTTCATACAGATGTATATTCATGGTCTTCACCATATAAACATTTACTTTATTGTTTTTTTTAGAGACTTGATTAGAGCAATAATTTTCTCAAGGACTATTGAGAAATATAGCTATTTGATGAACAGCTTTTGAATTATGAAAACTAAGAATTGTTTATTGTTTTTTACATGCTTAACTAAATAGTCTGGCTGGCAATCCATCAGTGTTACACAGACTTCCGAAGTCCAAAGAACAGTCAAAACAATTTGCATTTCCACATTTGAAAAATGCAACATCTAAAAATTTCTCTTTGTGTAATCTTATTGATAGAAAAAAGAGAGGATTCAAAGTATTTTATTATTAAGAGCTGTAAAAAATCAAAGTTAAAATAAAAATGAAAATCTCAAGAAATAAACTATTTGATGGACCTTGAGTGTATTATGCTAAGTGAAATAAGTCAGACAGAGAAAGACAAATACCGTATGATTTCCCTCACACGTGGAAGATAAACAAACGAACACAGAGATACAGAGAACAGATTGGCGGTTACCAGGGGGAAAGGGGGTTAGGGAAGGCGAAAGGGGTAGAGGGGTAAATGTGTATGGTGACGGATGGCAACTAGGCTTCTGGTGGTCAACACAATGCACACAATGCAGTCTATACAAAAGTTGAAATATAATGATGTACAACCTGAAATTTATATAATGTTATAAACCAATGTGACCTCAATAAAAAAATAAACAAAGTGCCATATCTTAGATAATTTAGGTGAAAATAAAGATGATATGCTCTGGAAAATTGTTAGATAATATAGCATCATCAAGGTCAAGACACTAGCATCAGAAATTATTGTGAAGAGTTTGAATAAAATTGTTTCATGAAATGTGAGTGGGAAAAACCATATTTCTAAATTAATAAATATTTTAATGTAATGTTGATTTTGAATATGTGTAGTTAAATAATATACAAAAATTATAAGTGGATATTTAATAACTCATCTATGACCATCAAAGTTTACAAATTTAAGTTGGCAAAATTTTTCTTTGGTTTCTCTTCATTAAGAAAATATGGAATCAATATACATCCCAAGTCACCTTAGATTTGGTATTCAGACATATCCCCAGGCACATGACTTTAATGGTTATTCCACTAATATGATGGTATTAATAAGAACAGACATACAAAAGTACTAAAAGATGTACCTGTTATTAAGAGGAACCAATCATGGCCCAAAGATAGCTCCCAAGCAGGAAGTTCCTCAGCCTATGCTCTCCATTGCCATTTATCTCAGGGTAATTTTTGTGGCCATAATGAAGTCTATTTTCCTTTGTGGACTACTTGTACACTTTTAGGAGGCACTAATAATAATAGGTAAGGATTGGAAAGAATTTGGGGGATAGCTCTAGGTATGACAATGCTTAAATGAACAGATAACCATGGAAGTAACTTTTTCTCAGCAGTCCTCAGTGTGATAGTTATAGCTACAAATTGAGAATATCAAATGAAAATATTTTGAAAATTGTACTTCCTTTATATTCCTAAGTATTTTATTTTATGCATTTAAATAATATTCATAGCCTTCACCAGACTGTAGTCAGTGACCATGACTCCCCAAAAAGTTTGAATCTGTGCTCTTGATTGAAATGATTCATTGAATGTTCAGTATAATAAATGTCTAGTGTAATAAATGAAGCAAGATCCTTCACATGATCGTGAATTTTCAGGGCACCCAACATAAAAAAAAGATCTTAAAAGGTTCCAGAGAGGAAATAGAGAACAAATATAAAGACTGAGAATTAGAATGGCATTGTGCATCTCACTAACAATTTTGGAGGCTAGAAAGCAATGGAACTAGCCCACAAAGGGGGCATTAGCCCTCAAAACTCTCAGGGAAAATGATTATCTAACTAAAGTTCTGTACTAAGTCAAAGTATTAATTAATTGTTAAATAAAGATATTCACAGTTCCCAAAAAAGTTTACCTCCCATGCCCTCTTTCTTATAAAATTACTGAATGATGTGCCTCACCAAAAGGAGCAAGCAAACAAAGAAAGAAGTCATGGGATCCAGGACACAGTGGACCAAACCAGGAGAGATTTGAAGTGAATTCTCAGGGATGAAAGTGAGCAACAGGCCTAGAAAACAATAGGTCCAGAACAGAGAAGAGATGGAGGGTTCCAACAGAAAAAAAGGAGTAGAGTTAATAGAATTGAATTGAACACTATTTACAGAATCATAAAAGAATGTGGAGACAAAGAGAGAATGGAAGAAAAAGAAAACCCTAAGCAAATATGAAAATAAGGCAATGACTATACTCTAGGAAAAATAAAAACAAGCAAGAGGGGAAATATAGTCATAATATACTATTTGGCTTAGTGATGAACAATATTTATATAGTCACAATAAGGAAAATTGACAAAAGATTTAACCTAAATTATCATACAATTGTATTGGAAAGATGAGGAGGGAAGAGAAGATGAATAATAAGAGTTAAAATGCTACTTCATAATAGGAATCCATAGACAATGTTAAAAATGAAGAACGAACAAAGGCTATCTACTTCAGAAATATGCAAGTAAATATCAGAAGAAATAACTGAAATGGTTGAAAGTGTATGCTTGCAAGGAATGGAATGATGAAGGGTGATAAGGAGCCAGAAAACTGTTGTTCTTATTGTTTTTTGGTTTGAACTCTTGTAACACTATTTACATTTTTAAACTAAGTGCATATATTTCTTTTTTTTTTTTTTTTTTTTTTTTAAAAATTTTTTTTTTTTATTTTTTCCCCCCAAAGCCCCAGTAGACAGTTGTATGTCGTAGGTTCACATCCTTCTAGTTGCTGTACGTGGGACTCGGCCTCGCGTTGGACGGAG